TATTTTCCAAGCTTTACAACATTTTGCAACCAAATTTTGCAAGTTTACTAATTTTAATAAGTTCTTAACGGGAATTTACTTTTTTTTTGCCTAGATCGGTTAGATAAAAAATTTGTCTAACATGCAAGTTGTCTATTGTACTAACCTTCTGGAGGTGGTAAACTGTTCGTTCATATCTGCTATTCCATGAGAGCTGAACTCCTGGTCAAGTGTCGACAGCAGGTTTTCTTCATCCCCATGCATTGAAGGCGGGGCAGTGTTGTGCTCGCTGTTGATACCCGAGTCAACATTGTAGCCATGTTGTTGTCCATACCACATCGCATTCTGTCCTTCTTTGCTCATTTGCTGACCATATTGCATGTGGCCGCCTTGCTGCATGTGGCCGCCTTGCTGCATGTAGTTTGACATCTTTCACCTGGGTTTAGAAAATGCTTTGATAAGTCTTCACACTAGATTAGAATTTCTATAGTGCAAATTTTTATGTGGATATGACTTATATGCACTTTACATCAAGTATTACGCTTACCTAATTTCATACTTAGCCTGGACTATTTTATCTTTTACAACAATTGTGATATTACTTTCTTAAAGTGGAAGTCAAGTCCGTTTCTCATCCCCGCCCGCATGGGATTTATCTGCCGCACGAAAATTTTTCATTACTACCATTTGCAAGCAACCGCAAAACCAAACTTTTTTCACGTTTGTTTACGTTGCAAACATACACGATGGGCGGGTCAAACGTGCATGTTGAAACGTAACAACAATTAGTTTGAACCGCGAAATAGTGACGTTTGACAAATCTCGCCCAAACGTCACTATTTTGCGGTTCAAACTAATTGTTGTTACGTTTCAACATGCACGTTTGACCCGCCCATTGTGTACGTTTGAAACGTAAACAAACGTGAAAAAAGTTTGGATTTTGCGGTCGCTTGCAAATGGTAGTATGCATTATTTTTGAAAAATAGGCTTAACAAAACACCAAATTGATCTCCAGATCAAAGTCTTATTGCTGCATTCCGCAAACGCAACTCAAATTGTATCTTTCTAAAGATACTACTCGCCAGAATGCCTCTTATTTTTCATGTCAGCCCTGGTATGTGTAGAAATATACTGTAGTGTAGGACGTATTAAATTAAAATGATTATACACCAATTTACTTCAGATTTTTATGGGGGTTTTTACTGGGTCAAGGAAATTATTGACAAGCAGAATTCAAATACAAAAAATAATGAAAAATGAAAAAATTCCCGCTCCAAACTTTTGAAAATTGTGGACGAGAAACATGATATCAATTTTCATTGTCCTAACAACGTGAGGACCTCTAATGTGAACATTGCCCAATTTTCTAATGTTTTGAATCTTTCTGAACATAAACTCTATTTCACATTCATTTAGAAGCATAGCAAACCAAAATGGTGTTAGATATTCAGACAGTACATCATATTTTAAAAAATACTGCAGTTCAAAATGTAAACAAACCGTTCGTTTACATTACGGACTTGACTTCCACTTTAACTGTGTCAGGAAACTGGAGCAACTGGGGAAAAACCCACGACTTTCAGCAGAGAATTTACAGACACTTTTTACACAAGTGGGCAAGGAGAGAATTGAACCCACACCCTCATAGGTGAAAGGCACTTTTTATCTGGAGAACTTGGTCTCGACAATATGTGGAAACTATTCAATATGGAAACTATTTTCAAACATCGCGCTTCTGATGTGCTGAACACATTAAAAACAATACATAATCAGCTGAAATGCCTCATTATTTATTGTTTCTAATGCGTTCGGCACATGAGAAGTGCTACATTTGAAACAGACCTCAGTGTTATTGAAACTTAGTTATAGACCAACTGAAGAAATTACAGGATATGCACGACTTTCCGGACTATGCAGGACTTTCCCAACCTAGGTTTTAGAAGCTGTTCGCATAAACTGGTCTGGCCCGACAAACTGGGTTGGTTCAGTTTGTCAATTGTGTAACATGACAGGGGCTAGCCTGGCAACATAATTAGGCATACTCTGTGACTGGACTTGTAACCAGACTGGATTTGTAACCAGGCTGGCTGATGTCATTCCTTAACCTGGACCTCGGCAAGCCGGACCAGACCAGCTCCCAATTATGAACAAAATTTCAAAAGCATCTAAATACAAAATGCAAGGCAAAATCCCAGCATTGAGGCCCAATCTATAATTTACTTGAAATGTTTCACGTTTAACCTATGACTTGACAGTAATGTCTGATATCATTCCCAATAACTCTGCTGGACCAGTAATAGCATGTTAGGATACCGAAAATGCAATGATTTATCAGTTTATAATAATCAACATCGCTTTTAGTGAATAAATGGTCCGATAATCAGAAAAACCCACAAATATAAAAGAGCTAAAAAAGATGAATGGGGTCAAGCCGCTTGTGTAGTGATACTGTAAACACAAATCATGACCCAAATAGAATCCATCTATTTTTCATTTAAACCTTTATCTTTGTGGGAATGTAAGAGAAATCTGTACGAATTTTTATGTATACATGCCGTGTCGGCGAACGTTTTCTAACAAAGAGCCCAAAGATTCTAATTTTAATCGAACGGAATGAAGCCAAAAATTTGACACAAGTTGACACGATATCGGCCCTTTGGATACATTCTGCTCGGTGTATAAAATGCCTGTAAATCTTCAGTAAAAGTCGTATAATGCTTATAGTATAATAAAGTTTACCCTACTGTGAAACTATGCTATAAAACTATCATATAAGCCGCGTTATGTAATTGAAAATATGATTATTTGCCGGATATCGGCTGACGTCGTAAAAATATTTAAACGAAAAAATTTGGATATGTTACACTAAAATTACCACAAATTTCTTCGCTTAAATATCGTTAACTCTAAAACATCTTATATATTTTACTTCAGCGGACTTCAGATGTGCTTATTACACTCTAAACTAGCGAGTAACTCAAAGATTTCGGACGAGGAAAGGCTACAAACGACAAATAAACATAAGCTATTTATACATAAATAGCAAGCGTCTCGCAAAAGCCTTTCACGTATACGCCAAAAATCTTCGGGTTTTTGTCATTTGAACACTTACCTAAGGCCAAGGGGAATCTTCTGGGATAAATTCCGTACCGGGGCTGTCTTCCTCTTGCCAAATTGCGGTGTTAAAAGGCGATTTTCAGTCAAAATATTCACTCAGAACTATATAAATATATTTTCGTCGAAAACATTCAGGGCGAAGCGGTGTTGTGTGGGAAAGCTAGACCTCATGCACGTCAATCACAGCGCAGTGCTTCTCTCTGATTGGTCGAGAGATGAGATTGGAATTCCAACTCAGATTTGGAATTGATTTGCATTTCAATCAACCAGTCAATAAAGGCCTATCTCATAAACAAAACTTACAATAGGACTCGATTTTACATACCTCGGAACAAAACACCAGAAAAGGAACGTACAAATATGCGTAGATTTGAGTATTTGACCTCGTTTTATAGTTGCGTTCGGATTTGTTTAAAATCGTTGCGTCGTTTGTGCTATTAAATAAGGATCTCTTACATAATTTTTGCTCAAGGCATAATGAGTAATTGTACTGTATCTACACGACATTTCCTGTTTTCTCTGAGTGTTTTGGGAGGGCAAAAAACACGTCCTGTTAGAATGTTTCGTAACATAAAGAAATACAAAAGATGAATGTCGTACTTCTCAAAAAAGAAAAAGAAAATAGGAAAAGATGGATGTTCCAAGAATCATGACAAGAATCGTTTTCAAGCAACAAACTTTCATTATTAGAAGGCCATTAGATAGAACACCGTAGTTCTCATTACTGTAATGTATAAATGCTCTCTCAAATAAAGGTTTTCACCATTATTATTCAGTGACCAAACGAACCTCAGGAACGAAATAGGTATTGACTGGTGGGCTGGTTTAACACTTTCACTTCCCAGTCAAATGAGAGTGATGGTTAACGAGAGTAATTGCAACTTTCGTTTGAGTTTGAGGTTTTGAGAGAGGCCAAACCTTGTTCTTGAGCTGGTTCACCAATTTGATTGTCGCCGGCTTGACCACCAACAATTGAATCAGTCTCCCGAACAGATTTGAATGACTAAATTACAGAGCGGGTCACTGAATCACCACACGCCTTTTCATGTGATGTCATAACCGTTTTGTTTAAGAGTAATTGACTGCTAATTAAATTCCATTGCCAAGATATTGCGATTTGTTCTCACTCAGTAAAATACACCGAAACTTGGACTCGACATGACAACAGGTGTGTTCCAAGATTAACAATGGGGTGCAATTAATAAGATGCTTGAATAAGATTCTTTAAATGCACTGAACTGGAGCCAGATAAAATGGCCCTATACGCATATAGCTATGCATTCACGTCATAAATTACTGCGAAAGAGTTGTGCATGGTAAACGGGTAAAATCTCACAGCTTGCCTTTCAGCATGTCTGGCAACAAGTCGTTGTGTTCGCACTGCTTGTCCCAAGTTGTGTCGTGACTCGTGGGTTAAAAGTCGTGTGTCGTGAGTAAAGTCGTGGGTAAAGTCGTAGGTCAAAATGTGTAAAAATGTTTACGTTTCGTATAGTCTATTAAGGTTTATTAGCTTTGGAAGTGTTATACTTATAGCCCTATCACGAGGGTGGGAAAGGGGGGGGGGGGATGGGTCACGTTTCACGTTGTCGTGGGGTAAAGTCGTGGGTCAAAATGTGTAAAAACGCATTTTTTCACGAAAATATTATTTTTATTTTTAATATTTTTTTTCGTACTTTTCCTTTTATGCGTTAGATAATTGATAAATACAGGAAAATTTAACGCGACAAATCTCCAGTAATAAAATAATTAAAAGCCCTTAATTTAAAGATAGACAAACATTTCATGTATTTCGCGATTGAATAACGGCGAAATGATTTGTGCGATGTTGGGCTCAATTTGCCAACCGAGCGCGCTATAGGAGTATAGCCGCTGTTATTTTGACAGAATATGATACCTCAGTACCTCTACACTTTTCAGCCGTATAATTACGTAATACATAATGCGCGCATCGTAATCATATACATATCGTTTAATTTATTTAGGTTCAAAAACTTGATAAAATCAAAATTGCTGTATTTTGTTAAATGTAAAATGCGCAGCATGTTGCGTACATTATCAAAGAAAAAAGTTATAGACTGAAATAAGCAAGATTTCCCGTTACATACATCATGGGGGGCTTTTCACGATCGAGGCGGCCTCTCATGTACTCTGGCAAGTGGCAACGCATCATTGCACTCCGGAACTAACACGAATAACATGTTTTTTATCAAGTTTTTGAGCTAAATTAAACGATATGTATATGATTACAATGCGAGTATTATGTATTACGGCTGAAAAGTGTATAGAGGTATCATATTCTGTCAAAATAACAGCGGCTAGCGCGCTTGGTTGGCAACTGAAATAGCCCGACATCGCACAAATCATTTCGGTTTTCAATCGGGAACTAATCCCAAATCGTGGCAATTTGTGGAATATGTCCGAATGCCACATATACATGAAATGTTGTTTGTCTATCTTGTTGGGCCACGAACATATACTATCAGATGAAATAGCAAAAAAATAGCAAAATTCTCCAAAAAGCTAATTCAAATATAATATATATAGTATATATATAATATACGAAACACAAATTACAGTGCTCCGCAATACCATATTATAGATAGAGCGTAATATAGTTTTTCGTTTTACCTCAAAAAACCACAACAGTCCGATACATGTTTATATGTCCATTCATTTCACGGAAAAAGTTATTTCACTGACCTCAGAATGACATTTCGTCAAAATTTTTTTCTCAAGATTGGTTTAGAAACAAACTTAGAGTAGGGTTAGGTTAGGGTTAGGGTTAGGATTACAGTTAGGGTTAGAGTTGGTGTTTGGAATAGGGTTAGTGTCAGAAAAACCGTTGCTTTGTTACGTTTTGTCACTCTGAGGCCAGCGAAATAACCTCTTCCTCATTTCACACATGTGGTATTTTTGGTGGTAACGGCCGCCCATACCGATACGCGTGACCCATGCATGCGCGTGACGCACTTTGTATTTTAGGGATTTCATTTCATTATTTAAGGCGGGGGGTGGCACCGAAGAGAAAAGGGTTGGGTAAACTAAATTTTGAGTAAGTAAAAGGTTGGGTAAATGAAAAACAAAACAACTCAAGGGTTGGGTAATAAAAAATTATTGTCATTTCCAAAGCATGACTCGCTAAAATATTGGAGACTGAAAAGCAATGTCAACAGTCATATGTCAATACAATATGTGAATCAATCAGAGTCACTTTCTTGATCAGATTTTCCGATTTGTTGGGAGACAAATGGTACTGTCTCCAAAGAAAGTACATGTGCAGACAACATGAAACTTTAGACTGCAGAAAATTGCACAATCCGTTATCAAACTCGTGTCACAGAAGTGGTAAAGGGCATGTGTAACAACTGAATGGTATCCTTTTGTAAAGGTTTTGGCCAGGGGTGGGTATTTATTTTTTAATTGATATCTGAGGTTGGGTAATCAAATTTTTGACTTTTTAATGGTTGGGTCAGCAAAATTTTTGCCAGGAAAAACATTTCTCTTCGGTGCCACCCCCCACCATAAATAATGACCAGTCCCTTACGCAATGAAACATGGCGACCGCTGGCGCCGAGAGCGTTTTAAATGTGAGAAATTACCACGAAATCTTGAAGTAAAAGTCGACAAGACAAAATTATATTAATAAATTATCATGTTATAGACAAATTACAGAATTATAGGGACATCAAACATAATAAAACTTCACTGACTCTCAATGACAATGGTTCATCAAGATATCGACCACACAAATTTTATATAAATTTGCTGGAAATGTTCGGCTTATTTACAAACCAAATGAGGTGGAATAATTTACTTGCTTATTGAGGCCTCAAAGAAAGGATTTCCCGACCAATGTGGAAAGTTTGTACTGCGCGCCCGAGATATCGGGCGCGCAATTTTGATGCTTTCTATATATTTACTATTAAATTTTCGAAATCTCGATTCCCGATAACTGCTGATGGCTTTCTTATTCATATCTTTCCTCGTTCGCAGCATCAACAACAGACAATACGTAAATATAATTATATAAAAATAAATACCACGAACATGCAATGCCAAATGAATGGTGAAGTCGCGATCATAATTGTACACGTACAAAATTTTCAACCTCGAAATGACACCACCGGAATTGCTCGAAAATTTACAATTTTTCCACCAAAATGACAGCAAAGGCCTGGCCAGTCTTTTTTAATCTACGCGTATATTTAAACATTGCGCATGCCAAAACGGTGTTATGACGCTTTAAACACGAAGCGCTGGCCTATTTCGTGAAATTGTGTATAGTAAATTATATTATATTATGAAATCCCAGCATGATATCACACCTGACACTTGTTGACCCAACTCGCATAAAATTTTTCTAAGAAAACTTGTTACTATACAAGGCGTTTCTTTCTCTGAATCCCACAAACAATTTTCGATCGAAATAGTTGGGAAATATCTTCCCATTTGGCTCGTGTTGCAGTTTGCTTAATATATTCACAGCATGGCGCATTCCTGTGGTTAAACATGCTAATTATGTCTTTGAAATAGAGATCATTAATCATAATTTGAAATTAATTTCATTTCGCTACCTAATAATTAATGTAAAACGCAACAGTTTTATTGTCTAAAGAGGTTTTCATGGCGGCAAATAGTTGGTTAGGATTAATTCCTGGTGCCGGCGGCTCTACTGATACACAGTGGCTAAATTGGAACTAAATTTATAGTGGATAACTCTGCCAGTTCTTTCCCCATTGCCCTAGTAAGGGCCGGCGAAACGTAACCTATCATTTATATCGAGAATGAAAATTGGCAATCACATATTGTACAGCCGATATTTCAAGCTTTCATTTAAAAAAATAAAGGTTTAATGAGTGTTCCAACTATGTTTTAACTTAAAGTAAAATACACAATGGTGTTAGGAAAACGTACATTAAGAACAGCTAACCAAAGTCCAAGGTCGCGTCAGTCGCCATTGATCCGAACTTTACAGGCAAAACCTAAACTAAACTAACTTTATTTATAACTATATATATATAGCTCTATCAATTCTTTACTATTTGAAACTTTTTTTCCAGTAGGTCATGTATAACTGGATCATCCCTTATCGATCCAGTGTTAATACAGGAGGAAACCTAAGCTAAAACACTTTATTTATATACTGGCTGGATAACTCTATCATTCTATTGGCAAAAAAATGATGTTTTATTCGGTGATGTACAAGGCGGGGGGCAGGGGGGGGGCGATATCTAGTGGGGTTAGTAAGATATACTACGGGTCACTTTAAAAATATGCATTCAAAGGGGGTTCCAAATTTCTTTTATCCTAAGGGGATTATGAACTAGGAACCTCTCAATAAGGGGAGTGGCTATATTAAGCGAATCTTTAAGAAATGAAAGTCCATACAAGAGTCACAGTTGTGAAAGGCATATATCATTGTATCGCCAAGACCTCTTGTATCTCATAAATTTGCATGTATCAATGAACTTTGAGTGCTAAATTACACTATCAATTTCTCTTATTAATGTACAGAAAAGGAGCACGTTTCTAGATCTTAAGGAACAACTAATGACATACAACTCACGACAAAAATGGCTCCGCTCAGACCGGAACAGAGGATAGAAAGAGCAAACATTAGGTATACATTTGCCGCGACATCGATGATAAATCAATTCAGTTCAAAATGTTGTGTAATTAACACTTGAAAGTTAACACGCAAAAGGTTACTCTCTAGTTAACATCTTCTTACGAATTTCAAGTGAAGACTGCATTTTTGGTGCATGTCTTGTTGAGTACTTGTGTTTTATACAGCCTGGGCAACGAGGAAAAGTTGAACGCGTTTGAATTAAACGCTGTCGACGGCTTCGCTTAGAACTGAGTAAGTTGCGTATTATTATTTTTTGAGATGATGTTACTGTGAATGTGTGCACCGCCAATAGGCGACAAGCTGAAACGTTTCGTGTTTAACCGCAGTGGCAATCGAATCATTTGCTTTGCTAGGCACGTAAAAGTCTCCCAACTTGTCAGCAAGATGTGTTCGCAACAGGCTTGTAGCAAGCTTGTCAACAAGTCGCAACAATGCTGTTATTTTATCAAGTTGCTACAAGGTTGTCACTCACAACTTGTTGACAAATTGGTGAGGACGATATCAAGTTGTTGGAACAACTTGTAACAAGTCTGTTGAGCTCAACAACCTTGTAGCAAGGTGTCATTAAGCCGTTGACAACTTGTGATGTCAACGTGTTGCGAACAAGCAGTGAGAACCCATCCTGTTGACAAGTAGTTAACAAGTTGTTGGAACAGCATTGCTACAAGTCTGCTGCAGGTTTGTTACAACTTGTGCGTTTTTATATGGGTAGTCCAATTATGCTGAACTAACAATGTGAAAAACTAGTCAATTCTGAAACGCCTCTCAATTTTCCAAATCCGCGTTCATTTCATGAATTTTTTTATAACTATAGATCGTTTGGGTGATTATAATGTGGAATAAACAAAAATGTTACGTAAAGATAAATTTTCCAGAGCAGGGGAGTGTGTCTTTTTTAGCAGCAGTAAAAATAGCTTGCGCACGAAATTTAAAAGTTTAAAACGCATTTTGAGTTCATGGGCGAGAAATTTGTTATGTGTTTTATCAATTGTCCAAATATCAGAAAATTTACTCAATTTTAAGTAATTTATATAGCTGCTGAATGCTTAATTCATGCAATATTATTTTTTTAAACTTTTTTTACAATTACAATATGCAAATTAGGTAAATGCATGAATTAAGCATGCGTGATAGGCATTGGTGCCAAAAAATGAAAGTTTCAGCAGCTATCTTCGCACTGCTTGTTCCCAGTTGTTGTAACAAGTTTGGAACAAGCTGTTAACAACTTGTAACAAACTTGATGGCATTAATTATCAGACTTGTTACAAGGTTGTTCTAACAAGTCTGATACAGTCATGATATAACAAGGATGTTACAAGGTTAACGACACAAGGTTGTAACAATATTGATATATCATGACTGTATCGGACTTGTTGGAACAACCTTGCAACAAATCTGATAATATCAACAAGGTTATTACAAGTTGTTAACAGCTTGTTCGGTTGTTCCAAACTTGTTGACAACTTGGGACAAGCAGTGCGAACACAACTTCTTGACGGCTTGTTGGCAGACTTGCTACAAGATGCGAGATTTTTGCTGTGTACACACGTAAAAACGCACAAGTTGTTACAAGTCTGCAAACAAGTTGTTACAAATCTGTTCACAAGCTGTCGACAAGTTATCTTCGCACTGCTTGTTCCCAGTTGTTGTAACAAGTTTGGAACAACCTGTTAACAACTTGTAACAAACTTGATGGCATTAATTATCAGACTTGTTACAAGGTTGTTCTAACAAATCTGATACAGTCATGATATAACAAGGATGTTACAAGGTTGACGACACAAGGTTGTAACAATATTGTTATATCATGACTGTATCGGACTTGTTGGAACAACCTTGCAACAAGTCTGATAATATCAAGTTATCAACAAGGTTGTTACAAGTTGTTAACAGCTTGTTCCAAACTTGTTGACAACTTGGGACAAGCAGTGCGAATAGAACTTGTTGACGGCTTCTTGGCAGACTTGGTACAAGATGTGAGATTTTTACGCTTGTAGTGTTATATAGCTACACACGTGAAAACGCACAAGTTGTTACAAGACTGCAAACAAGTTGTTACAAATCTGTTCACAAGCTGTAAACAAGTTGTGTTCGCACTGCTTGTTCCCAGTTGTTGTAACAAGTTTGGAACAGGCTGTTAACAACTTGCAACAAACTTGATGGCATTATCAGACTTGTTACAAGGTTGTTCTAACAAGTCGGATACAGTCATGATATAACAAAGATGTTACAAGGTTGACGACACAAGGTTGTAACAATATTGTTATATCATGAATGTATCGGACGTGTTGGAACAACCTTGCATGCAGCAAGTCTGATAATATCAACAAGATTATTACAAGGTGTTAAACAGCTTGTTCCAAACTTGTTGACAATTACTTGGAACAAGCAGTGCGAACACAACTTGTTGACGGCTTGTTGGCAGACTTGCTACAAGATGTGAGATTTTTTCTGTGTACACACGTAAAAACGCACAAGTTGTTACAAGTCTGCAAACAAGTTGTTACAAATCTGTTCACAAGCTGTCGACAAGTTGTCTTCGCATTGCTTGTTCCCAGTTGTTGGAACAAGTTTGGAACAAGCTGTTAACAACTTGTAACAAACTTGATGGCATTATTAGACTTGTTACAAGGTTGTTCTAACAAGTCTGATACAGTCATGATATAACAAAGATGTTACAAGGTTGACGACACAAGGTTGTAACAATATTGTTATATCATGAATGTATCGGACGTGTTGGAACAACCTTGCATGCAACCAAGTCTGCTAAGAAGCCGTCAAGAAGTTCTATTATAAAATAACATGTATATAACGCGTGCTCTGATTGGTCGAAACCCGTGTTTGGATCAGGCCATCCAAACACGGAAGACTATCGTGTTGTTGTTATTTTATAAAACAATTACTTTATGGTTTCCCTGTTAGGATGGCCTGATCCAAACACTTGGGAATGTTGCTCGAGCTAAGAAAAGCGCGCAAAATCACTCGCCTTCGGCTCGTGCTTTTGCGCGCTTTTCTTAACTGTCGCAACATTCCCGCGTGTTTGGATCAGGCCATCCAAACACGGAAACCATAAAGTAATTGTATATTCGCACTGCTTGTCCCAAGTTGTCAACAAGTTTGGAACAAGCTGTTAACAACTTGTAACAACCTTGTTGATAACTTGATATTATCAGACTTGTTGCAAGGTTGTTCCAACAAGTCCGATACAGTCATGATATAACAATATTGTTACAACCTTGTGTCGTCAACCTTGTAACATCCTTGTTATATCATGACTGTATCAGACTTGTTAGAACAACCTTGTAACAAGTCTGATAATTAATGCCATCAAGTTTGTTACAAGTTGTTAACAGCTTGTTCCAAACTTGTTACAACAACTGGGAACAAGCAGTGCGAAGACAACTTGTCGACAGCTTGTGAACAGATTTGTAACAACTTGTTTGCAGACTTGTAACAACTTGTGTGTTTTTACGCGTGTACACAGCAAAAATCTCACATCTTGTAGCAAGTCTGCCAGCAAGCCGTCAACAAGTTGTGTTCGCACTGCTTGTCCTAAGTTGTCAACAAGTTTGGAACAAAATGTTTAAAACCTTGTAATATTTTACGCTTGTGTTGTTATATAGCTACACACGTGAAAACGCACAAGTTGTTACAAGTCTGCAAACAAGTTGTTACAAATCTGTTCACAAGCTGTCAACAAGTTGTCTTCGCACTGCTTGTTCCCAGTTGTTGTAACAAGTTTGAAACAAGCTGTTAACAACTTGCAACAGGCTTGATGGCATTATCAGACTTGTTACAACGTTGTTCTAGCAAGTCGGATACACTCATGATATAACAAGGATGTTACAAGGTTAACGACACAAGGTTGTAACAATATTGATATATCATGACTGTATTGGACTTGTTGGAACAACCTTGCAACAAATCTGATGATATCAACAAGGTTGTTACAAGTTGTTAACAGCTTGTTCTAAACTTGTTGACAACTTAGGACAAGCAGTTCGAACACAACTTGTTGACGGCTTGTTGACAGACTTGCTACAAGATGCGAGATTTTTGCTGTGTACACACGTAAAAACGCACAAGTTGTTACAAGTCTGCAAACAAGTTGTTACAAATCTGTTCACAAGCTGTCGACAAGTTATCTTCGCACTGCTTGTTCCCAGTTGTTGTAACAAGTTTGGAACAAGCTGTTAACAACTTGTAACAAACTTGATGGCATTAATTATCAGACTTGTTACAAGGTTGTTCTAACAAATCTGATACAGTCATGATATAACAAGGATGTTACAAGGTTGACGACACAAGGTTGTAACAATATTGTTATATCATGACTGTATCGGACTTGTTGGAACAACCTTGCAACAAGTCTGATAATATCAACAAGGTTGTTACAAGTTGTTAACAGCTTGTTCCAAACTAGTTGACAACTTGGGACAAGCAGTGCGAACGCAACTTGTTGACGGCTTGTTAGCAGACTTGCTACAAGATGTGAGATTTTTGCTGTGTAAACACGTAAAAACGCACAAGTTGTTACAGGTCTGCAAACAAGTTGTTACAAATCTGTTTACAAGCTGTCGACAAGTTATCTTCGCACTGTTTGTTCCGAGTTGTTGTAACAAGTTTGGAACAAGCTGTTAACAACTTGCAACAAGCTTGATGGCATTATCAGACTTGTTACAACGTTGTTCTAACAAGTCTGATACAGTCATGATACAACAAGAATGTTACAAGGTTGATCACCTGAGGGTTGTAACAATATTGTTATATCATGACTGTATTGGACTTGTTGGAACAACCTTGCAACAAGTCTGATAATATCAACAAGGTTGTTACAAGTTGTTAACAGCTTGTTCCAAACTTGTTGACAACTTCGGATCGGCTTGTTGGCAGACTTGCTACATGATGTGAGATTTTTGCTGTGTATTAGAATGTTAGAGTTTTGCTGTGTAGTGCGTAAACTAAACGTGTTTGGCTGATTTGTGGTCACGTGGATTTAAATAAATGCAAGGTATCCCGCCGGGGGCAACAGATGAAAAATTGTTGCCCGCTCCTCCCGGCTACGTACATAAATATTCAAAATGAAGTCAAAAGTTTAGAAAGAGAGTTTTCCCAGTTTACAAAAATAATCCAGTATCTAACAACACCGCGGAAAAATGTCTGCGCATGCGTCTACCTTACTTGTAATAGTATTGCGAACTTGATGAGAAGCTGTTCCGAACGTTTCCGAAGGCTCAAAATGGCGGTAAAAAGGAGTGACTTCATTGTGCGTCTTTACAGCCAGATTTCAAGCGCAAAAATAAACATGTCATTCTAAAAACTAGGAATAAATACAGCCAGAAGGTTCAAGAAATTGTATTGTACAAGAACATGAACTAAAGGTGATTGTTGACAAATTTATCGTCTGAAACATTTTGTTTGTCAACTAATCAACGATAATTTCCGAATTTTCGTTTGAGATAAATTTCTTTAAAAAAAACTGTGTCGCCAAATATAAAAAATTTTCGTGTTCACAATAATTAAACTTTAGAATTTATTCTACAATTAGAGTTGGTTAAGAAGCTTAACTTTTCGAGAGTTTTCTTAACTTTTGAGTTTGAATTTTTGTTTTGAATAATTTTGCAAAAATTTTCGAAGTCGTGTCCGTTAAAATGAACAATTTTTTACATGAATTATATTTCATATCATACTTTAAATGGCAGGACGCTTTCAATTAATGTCTAGTGTACCCATTTGCTATATTTTCTCGTTTGTTTTACTAATTTTTGACCAATTAATAAGCATGGTTTTGTTTTAGAAATTGATATTCAAATTCCCCGCCATATTTTCATAATTTGGTGCATGCGCAGACGTTTTTCCGCGGTGTTGTATCTAACAGAGAAGAAAAACACTCAACAAGCAACAGGAAATTCTGCTGAAACACTTTTTTATAGCCAGGTTCTTTTATTGTTAGAATCATTTACATCAAAGGGTTTTATTCATGAAATACAATTGTTTTGTATATTGTTTATTTTCTCTTCGTCGCTATATAACAAAACGCTTAATCTCAGTTTTCTTGGGAAAAAGTTTGTTTTGTTTTTCCAATGAAAACTCAATGAATCTCAATGTTTCCCTCCACTTTGTCTCGGAAGAGAACAGGAAAGTTTTAAATCATAGCTCCTCCGGGTGGGTAGAGGGTGGGGGCCCGCGCCATTAACCGTAATCCGTTCCTGACGTTTTAGTGATAATCATATATAGAGGACAAAATTACTCGAATATAATTGGCTAATGATGAGGGCATTTTTCTTGATTCGGGGCACAATTACTTGTACAAACACTAATGGCTTCTCGCTTTGTCGCTGCGGATCGATAATAACGTTATTGAAGAATTAAAAACTTCTATAGAGAAAACTCAAACATTAGAAAAAGTACAAATCTATGGGTTGGAGCTGCCTCGTCCCCAGGCGCTAATTAAAAAATTTGCGAATCACTATATGAAAGGTTTACATGAAGTAGTGCGTCACATTATAGGCGCGCGCAAAGGACAGTGGGATATGAGCGTTCTGTGCCTCAAGCCCATAACTCCCTGCGCTTGTTCGTCATGATGCACTACTTCATGTAAACCTTTCATATAGTGACTCGCATGAAATTTTTTATTAGCGCCTGGGGACGAGGCAGGGGTTGGAGTTATTAAGAAATGGGCAGCATTAAGTTAAGGCGGAACATCGGCAAAGACATGGAAACATACGAGGTTTAAAAACTTAACAAATTCACAATTAACTTACGATTAAATTTAGTCCTCTATATGATTAACAAGTAATCGCATAGGTCCTCGTAAAATTAAGATTTAATTTCACTTGTGTTTTCTTGTGTTTTGGAGTCGCGAAACGAGCGTGAAATTAAACCTTAATTTTACTCGATATCCCATGCATGCGATTACTTATACCAATTAATTTTGGGCATTGCACTAAAGTTTATGGCCTCATGCCATTATATGTGATTTTTTCAGACATGAACAATAGCTAGGCCTATATCACAGAATTATTCGAAAATATTATCATATATTATTAAAATGATAACTTTTTTCAGATAATTCTGTTCCAACGGAACGCGCTTAGACCACTTCGTTATCGAAAGATATTAAATGATTCTTATCTGATATAACATTAAATATCCATTATGAACTATATAGCGCATGAAGTTCATCACATTAAGCCAATGACGCTAATTCGTAGACAAATTTATGTATTATAAATCGGTGAATGAGCACATGTTTATCAAGCTCTTATCTTCGACATATTCCTCATTAATAATTGTTATAAGTCAATATGAATATATGCATTTAAACAAACGAAAAAACATTGTCAAACAATATATTGCTACGAACATAGGAGTGGTCTCCCTACACTTTTCGCACGGAGCCTTTGGCTTTGTCACCGAGTCGTCGTGCTTCGAAAGAGGGTCTGCTAATACTTACGCGGCCTGTATTCTAAAAGCTCACTCACACTCAGTCTCAAAGAGTAGAGGTTCAATCTGAGCTTCCCTTGACTCTTGAGTCTCTTTGGACTTTGAGTGTGAGTGTGCTTTTAGAATACAGGCGTTAATAGCCCTATCAATACAATGCAGTAATATAAACCATTAATCCGTGAATTTCTTTTGTACTTTTACATGAATCGTGATTACATGCACCTTAATTTTTTCATGAACGTGAACGCCCCTTTTACCAGTTCTTTTAATTGTTGCTCGTGAAAAGCCGCAAATATTTTTGCGTGACTATATAATGAGTAATGTGTATATGCATTTTGTGGAGAGGTTTAGCCTAGGGGGCCTCTGGCATGGAGACAAGGGGTTTTGCATTGAACACATGTGTGTTGAATACTAAGTGTTTTTCTTCAAAAAATTGTCCTTCCTGACTACAAGTGCGTGACTGCTCAAGTACGTCATTGCGTTTAAGAAATTGTTGACGTATATAAATATTCCGTTGTTTATAAAAGCTTCACATACACTGCCTTCAAAATATTTTAACCGTGGGATGCAATGCTTCTGTATAGAAGACATAATTGTGCAGTAAAGGTCTGTCCATACCGAACATACGATCATACGGTGAGAGTTGATAAGAGTTGAGAAGCGAGAGTAGTTTCTCAACTCTCGTACCCCGGTCAAACGAAAACAAGAGTTGCATGAGAGTTGACGAGAGTTGACTGCATGATATTCCCCCGCGCGTAGCGAAAACTCTTATCAACTCTGACTTTCTGATCATAAACACGCGGGAAAATTTCGCTATAAACTAAATAAAAAGGCCAAAGGCAAAGCCGAGGAAATATGGCAATTTCAAACGCTGGAATGACAATCGTGTATTCGACTAATTGTAAACCGGCTGTTGTAGAATAACTTCAGGAGCTGGTTTGCAATGCAGTTTTGGGGGACTAATACAATATCTTATATTTCTGTTGGAATTGAAATACTCTTCAGGCACACGTGGACATGCAGATATTAATCGCATCAAATCTAAATCTATCTTTTTGCACGTGTTGGCTGTCAATATAATTGTATCAGTGCAATATCGGAAGTGTAAAAGGGCAATACATCACGATTGTTGTAGGTAATTCTGTGAAAATAAAACGACTTATTGTGTACTTTCTATAAATTTTGGGTCATCTCGAAGCCATATAGACAGTGTTGATGCTTGCTTGATTATTAAAACAATATAACACAATCAAAACTATACAGAGTATATTTTCTAAAGAACGAGGAGGCTGTCCTCGTGATCATGGAAGCCAAACATCGCAAATGTACAATTTAGTTTGTGCATTGTCAAACGTGTACAACTTTTTTGAGCAGGGGAAGATAGGTTTCACATTATGGAAAAATTTTAACTGACAGCTTCGATTTAAGCTAACACGTGGGCACGAAAAATTTACAAAGTATTTAGTAGTAC